ATTTAAGAGAGTCTATTGTTTCGAAACTAAGTTTGCAAGGTTTTGCAAAGAACTTCAGATTGAATTTCCTTTTATGTTTCGCTTTATCAGAGAAGACGGTCAGCGATTCCCGATTTTTCGTGCTCAGCGGACAAATGCTATTGGTGGGATGTTTACAATGTACCGTTGAAGAACACTTACATTAGGGACTTGTTGATTCTAACAATAACCAAAATAGGAGCATACAGCGAACAGACCCTAGGGAAAAGAGAAAAAGGCGATGGCGTGGCCAGAGGACACATTAATGATAGATCGGAATGATGATCGTCTACATGGCCGCTAAGTATCCCTAGGGAAACTAAATGGTATGGCAGCGTTCATACTTAGTGACGACGATAGCAGCGATCGGAGCGGCTGTGGCGATCAACCTCATTCGCCGGCATGCGATCGAGGGCGCCCAAACACTATTACTTGGACTGCTCCAAATGCTAGCGGGAAAAACCGGACTAATTGAGTGTTTTTTTTGCGGTTGTTTTTGGGACTGAAGACTGTTTGACTTCTACTGATTTCACATCTCTTTAATAAGAGGTAAGATTTTGTGTCATCGAGGACATGAGGAACATGAGGAGCGTCACAGGAAAAATTTGCTGCAAAGTCCTCCTATTTACAGCGCAGCTTTACAAAAAAGATAACAGAAATAAACACACGTGGCTGGTTGTTGGAAGTGCTTTACTCGCAGGCATGCTTTTCGTCGCAGTGGTTCTTCTTGTCGTAGTGGTGCTCTCTGTAGGACTGGTCTTTTTTGCCATAGTCGTGCTTTTCGTCGTGCTCACAGTCGTGCTTTTCGTCGTAGTGGTGCTTTTTGTCGTGCGGGTACTTTTTGTGGTAGTCGTGCTCTTCAATGTAGTGCTGCTTTGTGTCGTAGAGGCTGCCCTTCGTCGTAGCTGAGCCTGTTGTCGGTACTTTGGTTACAACTTCGCCGGCAAGTATATTTTCGTGTATACGGAGGAATTTCTGAAAGTGTTCATTTCTCTTACACCATTAACAAGATTGGTAAGGGGGTACAACACAAGAACTGTATACCTATTCTACCCATGCTTTTATGATCTGCTTTTCCTTACCGAAAAGTCGTAGGTCACCACAAATACTCAACTGTATTGTCATGTATGCCATGTGTGAGAAAACCAGGACACTTTTTAGATACGACTGACCTTTCTCTTTGCTGAAGCACAGGCTTTATCGGCCTCTCCTTTTCCAGCTGGACACTACCTACTCAAAAGATTATTCCGCACGAGCAGGGCACATCATCGTGACACTCGTAGTGGGGAGGGGGGGGGGGGTTGGTGACGAGAAGGGCAGTCAGTGCCGAACAGCACAAAGGTGTCAGTGTGCTGAGTCTTGTATAGCGAAACTAGCTTTGAAGAAAACCCGGGTCTGTCGAAAATAGTACAAAAAGTTAATTAACTAAACTAGTCCGAAATTGAGTAGAAATAAAATTCGTAAGTACATAGACGACTGAAACAAATTTATACACTGGTTCGCTGCAAATGATGGGGCGTGTCCGCGTTTGAGCAACGTCAACCCGTTTTTTTCTTGCGGCAACATATCTGCTCGCGTAGATAGGCATTGCGTAGAAGTCGCATCATCCCCGTTCCCTGCGTGGGAGCCCAATTTATGACGCATCCAGAAATGGAGCTAATGGGCACTAAACTGACCATTGCTCGCTCCTTTTCCACAAGGGAATCCATTCTAGATGCATTTGTGGATATTCGAATACACCCACTCAAAACGGTACACAAAAAAACTGGTTTTTTCGTCCATCTCGGATTAATTCTCAAGAAGTCCCTAACGCATTTATTTCATTAATTTCGAAAACTTCGGAAACCATTCAAGCAAAGAAGAAATCTTTAGCGTCACAAGACTGCGCTTGTACTTGAAACTGTTGAGTTGGAAGAGAATTGTCTCCGTTCAAACCAGAAGAGCTTGCATCCAATTTCAAAAATTCCCAGCAATTCCCCAACGCTGAATTTCTCCCTAAATCAGGAACTTTTATAAGCAACTCAATGCATTTCGGGATGTTCAAATCTTTTCCTCCACAACTGTGTTTTCCTTTCTTCCCAACCTGTCTCCTTTGAAGAAAGTCATGGCATCCTCAAAAGGACTGCTTCACTTAAGCGGTTTATGGGCGAATTCGTCCCATTTCCAGTTTGAAGGACGCGGACCCGCTAATTCAAAATTCCGAAGGGGAATGCCCGTGCAATGTAGTCCACTGTGCCCTGTACTTTACTTAAAAATACCACCAGTCACTCGTGCAACTGCGTAGTGGGGCGGCCTACCGTCCAGGGCGCATCTTTGTTGGGGAATCCCCAATAGGGGGGGGGTCGTATTTGGCCGCCAGGAGAGGGGTGTCGTATTTGGGCTGAGAGAAATTTATTTTGTACAGGGTGACCAAAAAGTTCTGGCAATTTTTCGAAATACTTTGGTATCGTAAAAGTGCCATTTAATTAACTTAACAGCGAACCTAAACTTTCGGAAATCTTCATTAGACCAGTAGCGATGACGGTGTACAGAGAAATCACAACATGTGTTCAGAATTGCCTCCTTTGCTTCCCAGATCGAAGCTCGCAGGATGCGTCGTCTGGTCGGTGCTGGTCGCTTGAAAAATGTGCTCTTCACCGACGAAAAATTCCCACGATCGAGCCTGTACACAACCACCAGAATTGTCTGTACTACTCAAGAAGGGTCAGCAGAAGACAACGGCAGCGAAACCCGTCGGCCATTTCCAGCCTCAGTCATGGTCTGGGCTGGGATCTGTGTCACCGGAAAACCTCCACTCGTCTTCATCGACCGTAACCTTAAAATCAATGCTGCTAACTATCAACAGTGCGTTCTTCGCGATGTACTGAAGCCATGGACGTCGCAGCACTTTGGTTCAGATGGATTGTGCTTCAGCAAAACTGGGCTCCACTGCAGTCTGCCCAATCCACCTGCGAAGAGCTGCTTCCGGGATTTTGGGGCGAGGACATTTATCCTTCCAACTCGCCTGATCTGAACCCGATGGATTACTCCGTTTAGTCTATCTTGGAGCAGAAAATCTCAGGAATCCAATGCGTGACGGTGGATCATTTGAAAGCAGCATTACTGCGTGCTTGTGACGAAATTACAGTAGAAGAATGCGCGACCATTGTTGGACACTTCGAAAAGCGACTGAGCAAATGTATTGAGGTCAAAGGATGCGATTTTGAATACATGTTGTGATTTCTCTGTACACCGTTATTGCTACTGATTCAGTGAAGATTTCCGAAAGTTTAGTTCCGCTGATTAAGTTAATTAAATGGTTTTTCTATAATTCCAAAGTATTTCGAAAAATTGCCAGAACTTTTTGGTCACCCTGTAGTTGATTTATCTAGCTTCGCGGGCGTTGTAAAGGAAGGGGGTCGTACTTGGTCATTGATGGAAAGGGGGGGGGGGTGGTGTCGCATTTATGTGGTTTCATCAAAAGAAAGTGTTGTGCGCCGGCGCTGAGCGGTCGGTTCTGTGGTTGCTCTCGCACCTATTCTACTGATATTCGATTTCTCACTGATATTCGCATACTCTACTGTTTCTACTGGATTGCTACTATCAGCGGCCTCTCGCCATTCTTCTTTTGGGTATTCAGTGCATGAGATTGCTTCTGCTATTCACTGTTACCTATTTTTTTGTCGTCGGATCCAGTTAAAGTTGAGGATCGATTTCCAATTTGCGTTGGTCACGAACGACCCGTGATCAGTTTTTCATCTTGTTGGGTCGTACGATAAGGTGTATTGATTCTACTTTTTATATATTTTTCCTGTCTTTTCAACTATGGATACTCCTCGTGCTTCTTTCAAAGGTACAAAAAGGTCATGCCCGTCCACGTCGCCACTATCGCCAGGTTCCACATCGTCAGCACTAGAGAGCGCCATGAGGGAGGTCAACTCCCACTGCAATGCATCTTATTTCATGAACGATAAGGAGATTACCAAGGTCAATGAGGTCAAGGATCTTGGGTTTCTATACAATAACAAACTTGACTTTTCCCCGCACTACAAGCATATATGTAAGAAAGCCCTTCATCGTACCTATTGCGTATTCAAGGCACTCACTACTTCGGATAGCAGGGTCCTTGTTAGAGTTTATAAGACCTATGTTCGGCCTTTGGTAGAGACAGGAACGGTTGTCTTTGCCCCTTATAAAAAAGGGACATTGCTCTTATTGAAAAAGTCCAAAATAATTTCACCAGAAAGATGTTAATCCGTCGCGGTGGCTTCCTGTATGCTAAAATCCCTAAGGCAGAAATTAGGAACAAATATTTCGGTCTTCCCTCCCTACATTCCAGGCGGACCCTTTTTGACTTATGTATGTTGCATAAACTGATAAGGGACAATTCCATACTTGATTTTTCTCGTTTCTACACCCTTATTCCGTCAGTAACCCAAGGCGGTCAACACAAGCCATCA